TCCACACACAGATACACACACACACGCGCACACACTCGCACACACGTGCGTGCAAGCACGCGTGCACACACACACACACACGCGCACACACACACACACACACACACACACACACACTCTTTTACCACACGCCTGAGTTTGAATTGATGGAGCCAGCGTTTTTTACGCTACCGTTTTGACGGTACGTATTTTAAGCTGGACGACACTTACTCAGTTTCCGACTTTCTGGGCGACTCACCTCTGACTCCTGAAGATGGTGCTAATGCACCTGCCTGCTGCCACTTCCCCTCTCCTTTCTCACCCTGTCCATTTCGTTCCACCCTGCTTCCATGCCTTCCCCGTGTTGCAACAGGTCAAGGAGCGCACATCCAGCCACGGCACGTATGACGCCGGCTCGCACGTGATGCTGTTCGGGGAGAAGGCTCTGGGTTCTTATCCCCCTCCCTTACCCTCTGTACCACCTCGCCTTGCCTTGTTGTGCCCCCGCACCACCAGGTTAAAGAACGTACATCCAACCACGGGACATACGATGCCGGCTCGCACGTGATGCTGTTTGGGGAGAAGGCTCTCGGCACCGACCCAGTTTCAGACTTCCTGGGCGACGCGTCCCTGGCCACTGAAGCTGGTGCTAATAACGAGGATGCTAATACTGGGGAGGCTTATATCAAGGATGCGGGCATGACCCCGTGGGTGCCGTTCAGTCTGTCTGCGCTGCTGGGCAGGGGCTTTGGCAGGGGCAAGGGGAGGGGCGGGGGTGCGGTGCTGTCGGCGGGGCAGAGGATGTTTGCTGCTGGAGAGGCGGTTGGTGTGGTGGGGCAGCGCGATGCAGAGGTGCTGCACCTGTGGCACAAGGTGGGCCTCCCTCCCCCCATTCTCCACTCGCTCGCTCACTCACTCACTCACTCACTCACTCACTCATTCACTCACTCACACATGAACTCGCTCAATCGCTCGCTCATTCACATTTGGAGGCGGTTGGGGTGGTGGGGCAGCGTGATGCAGAGGTGCTGCACCTGTGGCACAAGGTGGGGTTCCATTCCTCCCTCCCTCACTCCCTCCCTCCTGTCATCCCTCACTCAGTCACTCACTCACTCACCCACTCAATATCTTATTCACATCTGGAGGCAGGTGGTGTGGTGGGGCAGCGCTATGCGGAGGTGCTGCACATGTGGCACAAGATGGGCCTCCCTCCCTCTTTCCCTCCCTCCCTGACCTCCCGACCTCCCGACTCACCTCTTGCCATCTTTCTTCTATCCCTCGTCCTGTCCTTCAGTATATGGGCAGCCAGCGTTGCCTGCTTGCGTAGTGAGTCTTCCGGGGCGTTCTTATACTGAAGAGGAGGGGAAGGGCATGGGGGGTTCAAGAGGGCGAAAGTCATGACCCTACCTACCGCAGCATGACTCGTCACCCTCTTTAAACCTTCATGACATTTCCAAAAACTTTCAGTATAAACAACGTCCCGGAGGACTCGCTATGCAAGGAGACAGCACTGGCCGCCCTTACTGAGACCGTTGCCCATCTGCGCTTTTACATAAGCCTGCCTATTTTCCCTCTCAAACCCCCCATGTCCCTCCCTACATCCTCATACCCCCCCCTGCCCCCACGCCCCCTCGCTCTCCCTTCAGTATAAGAACGCTCCGGAGGACTCGCCGCGCAAGCAGGCAGCGATGGCCGCCCTCAGCGAGACATTCGCCCACCGTCGCCACGTGGACGAATCGGTGCGCGCCACGGTGGCAGCAGCGGTGGGCGAGGGGCGTGTGGAGGCGGTGCTGGAGGGCAGGCAGGCGGAGGGGAAGGCGCTGGTGGACGACTGGATGTGCCTTCGGGAGATGGTGAGTGGTGGGGTGGGTGATTAGACTCTACAATGGCCGGTACGGGGGTTGTATCTTCAGCTTTTCTAAGATTGACTCATCACACGAGGGGCATTAGGAGGGGAGGCAGGGGCGGAGGGGAGGGCTCTGGTGGACGACCAGATGTGCGTGCGAGGGATGGTGACTGGTGGGGGTGTGAGTTCTTAGGCACTTCGAGTAGTGCCTCATCACACGAGGGGCGTGTGGAGGCGGTGCTGCAGGGCAGGCAGGCGGAGGGGAGGGCTCTGGTGGACGACCGTTATGCTCCACAGGCTTCGATGGTGTATGGCAGGGGCGGATTCACAGGCTCTTCAATGGTTGTTTCATCATATGAGTTGTGTGTGGAGGCGATCTACTTCTGTTTTTTTAGTCAACTCAAAAGTCTCACGGGCTCTTCAATGGTTGATTCATCATATGAGTTGTGTGTGGAGGCGATCTGCTCCTGTTTCAGTCTCCCAGGCATGAAGCACATGTGTTCGTCTCTAGAAGTGTGGGCCTTGCCCCGCCTTGCACCTTCCCACTGTAACTCTTTCCCCTTCCCCTTCTCTTCAGGTGCGGGCCTACGAGGCAAGTTGTGGGCGTATCACTCAGTACGGCATGAAGCACATGCGTGCATTCGCCAATCTCTGCAATGCGGCTGTTGCTGTTCACACCGTTGCTGCTGCAGCCCAGGAGGCATGCCCTGCTGCTGCCAATGCTGTTCCCCCTGGGCTGCTTGTTGCGCCAGGAGGGGGTTTCTCTGTGTGAATTGTGGATGGGATTTTGGTATCTGTGCTTTGATGTTGCAGATCGTTAGGTGTGATACTGGTTAGCTATCCTGTGATGGGTTACAGAGGGTCGTTTTTGTGTCACATCACATTTTAGTGACATTGTAAATAGCGAGGTTGATTGCATGCTTGACTGTTGCATGCTTTCTAAGGTAAAGGTGCTTTAGAGCTGGGTGGGTGGGCCATATAACGGTACATCGGAATGATGGGATCAAATACTGGAATTGATGTGAGCATGTTTGTATGGTCTAGCTCCTTTACTGTTCGCCTTTTTGGACCTGCTGATATTATAGACAGATTCCTGTGATTGCTTGGACTTTTTGGGTTGCGTAGCAACCTTATACATTCGTTTTCACTTTTCGGTTGACTGACGTGAACAGTGATTCTCCACCATCAATATGGAAAGAATCACTGTTCACATAATCACACGAAATGTGAAACCAAATGTACCCAGTCATTCCATAATCGTCGATAAATACGGCGAATGGGGTGATTGGTACGCTATGACAAAAACCTGAGGGCAAATGACAACACCCTAGACCAAAATACACAAATTACCACGCGCAAGAACGTGTACAAAAACCACATTTGTAAGTCGTGCATGTTTCGAGGCGAATGCTAAATGCATCAATGCTGCAACCAAGGTTGATATGGTACGGAAGAGGCGAGCAAAGCTGCCCCACCGACGATGACAACCCCAATTACATACACGAGGCACTAGCACCACACCACACCCCAAAACAGACACAACACAACACAACACCTTACACAAACGACAGCACACAAACTTGTACAAACACGAGGGACAACAGTTGTGAATGCTTCGAAGCTAGTGCTAGAATGCATCGATGATGCAACTGAGATTGATCCGGTATGGAAGAGGCGAGCAAAACTGCCCCACCAACGATCACAACCCCAATTGCATGCACGGGGCACTTAGCACTCACCCGGAAACAGACACAAACACTACATACATGTACGCACAAACACAGGCACACACATACAGACACACACACAGACAAACGCAGAACATACAGCTAATAAACATGCAAGAATAACCAGTAAAGTTCAACCATGTATAGTTCATTGCTGGTTTGTCCCCCATTCCCCTCCCTCCCTGATCTTCCTCCCACCCCTCCCCCCCTCCCCCTTTTTTCTCCACGAGAAACAACGATTGCAGCTTGAACTCCCTGCACAGGAAAGAAAAAACGGCAAATGCAACTCACAATCCCTGCACAAACAAAAACAAAGCAGAGTACAACTTGCATGAGCTACACAAGAAAACAGAATCAGAGAATGCAGCTCACACGTTGCACCAGAAACTGATGGTTAATGCATGATATATAAACGATAACATTTTACATTAAGAGTGATGAGAACGATAGCATTTTACATCTTACAAAGGTGACTCGGTATTAGAAATTGTGGAGTCACGCATCCACGCCAGAATGCATGCAACACCTCGTAACCATTCTTGCATTCACCCTCACACTCATGCTCACATTCACTCATCCTCAGATCCAAACCCGCACTCACCCTCTTGCACACGCTTGCAGTCACTTACAAACACTCGAATGCTTTCAATCATTCTTAGTCACACGCACAAATCCTTGCCAAAACCTCGGATTCGCCCTCACGCTGACTCGAACACCCACACACGAACACCCAGTTGCGCGCACCCTCGAACTGAACTCCCCCACTTGCTCTCGCACGCACTGACGCACGCACCTTCGCACTCAGCCTCGCCTCACTCTCGCAGTCACACCCACAATCACCACCATCGCACTCGCTCTTGCACTCACTTTTCACACACACACACATATGCTCTCAAATCTTCTTCGACACTCATAGAAACACACACACACAAACACGTGCACTCATCTCGTACTTCACCTACCACACACATTCGAACGCACTCTCACACCGCACTCCCATTTGCACACACACACACACCAGCACCCTTGCACTAAACCTCGCACTCAGAAACATACTCACGCTCGCACTCACCCTCAAAATTGCCCCCGCACTCACGCTTGCTCTCACTGTCAGTCAACACTTGCTTACTCACTCGCACATTCACGATCGCACTTGCTTGCCCTCGCCCTTGCGCTCGCAGCTGCCCTCACCCGCAAGTGCATGCGCACATCCAAGTCTCGCCCTCACGTCGCCCGTGACCAAGGCGCCCCCTAATCTCAAGCGCCCACAGCACCAGCACCTTAGGCGCAAGCACCCACGGCGCTCACGCCCAAGGCGCCAGCTCCCTAAGCGCAAATGCAGTAGACGCACCCACATCGCCAGCGTCTTAGGGGCCAGCACCCACAGCGCTCTCGCGCAAGCGCGTTAGGCGCTAACACCTACGGCGCCCGCCAACGGCGCCAGCGCCTTAGGGGCCAGCACCCATCGCCCTCACGCCCAAGGAGCCAGCGGCCCAAGCGCTCGCGCCCACGGGGTCCGCGCCAATGGCGCAAGCGCACAGGGCGCCTGTGCCAACGGCACCAGCACCCTGAGCGTAAGCGCCCACGGCGCTAGAGCCTTAGGCGCAAGCGGACACGGTGGCTGCGCCCTAAGAGGCACAAGCGCCAACGGCGCCCACTCTCCCGCCTCTCCCACGCTCCCTCCTGCACGCTCTGTCACCCTGTCTCCCTCCAGCTATTCCTTCCCCCTCGCACGCGCTCTCTCACGTGCAGTCTCCTGCGCGCTCTCTCCCGTGCGCTCCCTCTTTCCCTCACTTCAAAAAGTAGTGCAACACAAGATGAGATTAATCGACACACAAAAACTACAAATTAGGAAACAAAACGAATTTCAGGGAGGGAGGAAGGAAAAAAAGACGGGGATAGGTAAACGCACCTGCAAATCACGGTGCCTCAAGACCCAACCTGCACTCGCGCACCGCGAACCAGCCCCCGCTCGCGCACCAGCTCGCTCGTGACCTGTCACCGGCGACGGCGAAGTGAGAGGGAGGGATGACGGCGGGATGGGAGGGAGAGGCGACGGCGAGATGGGAGGGAGAGGCGACGGGGGGAGGAGGGAGCGGCGACGGCGGGAGAGAGGGAGCGGCGACGGCGAGAGGGAGGGAGCAGCGACGGCGGGAGGGGGGGAGCGGCGATGGGGGGGTGGGATGGAGTGACGACGGCGGGAGGAGGGAGCGGCGACGGCGGGTTGGAGGGAGAGGAGACGGCGGGTGGGAAGGAGAGGGGATGGCGCTGTGGGATAGAGAGTGGATGGCGGCGGGGTCGAGGGGAGCAGCGATGGAAGGAGGGAGGGAGAGGCGATGACGAGGTGGGTGGTTGGGAGGGAGAGGCAACAGGTGGGTGGGAGAGGAAAGGTGATGACGAGGTGGGAGGAGGTGGAGATATTTGGGTTGGTTTGGGGAAGTGCAAAGGGAAACTGCAGTAAAACTACAGTAACCAAATTTGAGGAACCAGGAGAATCGAGGAGTTTTGGATTGTGTCGGAACACAAATAACGATATGAAAACTTGGGCAGTCGAAAAACACCAGACGTATGTCACGTGAAAACACACACATATTCACGTCACACATCCGGGTTGAAACATTTGAGTGAGCTGGAAAAACTCGCTAGGAAGAACTTCATACTGCAATGACAAAAACAACATATACGACGATAGATACCATCATTATTCACTAAGCAACTAAAAGTCAATGTGTCTAATTCCTCACTGATTATTTATCGAAAAAAAAACATTAACATCCACCCTAGAACTAATAGATTGCATCATCAAGAGCTATCGAGCTTGCCACATTCCTTTATATGGGAACTTGAGTTACGCACATTTTTTTATCAACTAGAATGTAACGTCTACGCAACCCTTCCGAAGTTCACGTCGAGTCTTGTTTACCTTACCTGACACAACGTTCGCCAAATTTCCCGCCAAAAGCGGCGTCTCGGAAGATCACCACCTCCTATCTCAATTCCGCCCGTTCAGGAACCTCACCAGCTCCAGCAAGGTCACCTCACCAGAGTCAAAAGCTTTGTACCATTCTGAAATTGCTGGTTACCGCAAGTTACCGTTCGGTGACATCTCTGATCACAGGTGCTGGATTGTCGGCGTGACGGGCGTGATTCACGGACAAGGAAAGTGGGTTCGCCGTTCTCAGGCTCACACTGCGGAGACCAAGGCTAGCAGTATTTTTAGCCGCCTTAACTTCATAAGTTATTGGTTCTGGTCGGCGAAGTCGACGGACAGTGCCGCTTAATCCTAGTTCGATCGTTTAGCGTCTATCAACAAGGAGCAGGAGCGACGTGCGTGGGAGTGGTTACAGGAGCAATGGCGTGGCCGATCTACCTCTATCTTCCGAACATCGTCGGTCAGTGGCCATTCCATGTTCTAGGTTCGCGGTGTACGCGTAAATAGATAGAGATTCAAATCAAGCTTAAAAATATGATGGTTGGTTCGCGGTGAACGCGAAACGCGAACTCTTATGGAAGCATGGCAGAAGTCACTACGAGTTGGCTTTCTCCCTTTGAGTTGGCTTTGTCAGGGCCAGTTATAACCTGGATCAGGCGTTGCGGCGTTTGAGAATCATCAGTGTTTACAGACTCGTTGTTACGTTATCTGCCTTTACACACGCTAACCATAGGCGTTATCATAGGCGTTTGCGACTGACATTGTCTCTGTTGCGAATGCTTGTCATGTTACAGGGTACTTTCGCATATTGGCGAACGTCTGGGCCTTCGCCATCGCTCTTTCCGATCCCCGCCTCTTCGTCGCCCTTTACTTCTTCAGGTGAAGCTCCTTACAAATTAATTGCTTATGTGAACCTCCTCTCGGATGAACCTCCTCTCGGATGAACCTCCTCTCGGTTAAGCTTCTCTCTTCTTACTGAGTGAATGCGCCCTCAGCCATAGTCCTCCCCTCAGGATTGCCTTCCATTCCTTGGATGCATAGTGTCTGTTTTCCCCTAATTTAAACATCTAGAGAATCGACTCAAAAGGCACCATTGGATCTCATGCTCAGGATGAATACATCGCATGAACACATCACATGAACACATCACATGAACACATCACATGAACACATCGCATGAACACATCACATGAACACATCACATGAACACATCACATGAACACATCGCATGAACACATCGCATGAACACATCGCATGAACACATCACATGAACACATCACATGAACACATCGCATGAACACATCGCATGAACACATCCCATGAACACATCACATGAACACATCACATGAACACATCGCAGGAACACATCGCAGGAACACATCACATGAACACATCACATGAACACATCACATGAACACATCACATGAACACATCACATGAACACATCGCATGAACACATCGCATGAACACATCGCATGAACACATCGCATGAACACATCGCATGAACACATCCCATGAACACATCACATGAACACATCACATGAACACATCACATGAGCACATCACATGAACACATCACATGAACACATCACATGAACACATCACATGAACACATCACATGAACACATCACATGAACACATCACATGAACACATCACATGAACACATCACATGAACACATCACATGAACACATCACATGAACACATCACATGAACACACACGTTAACACATCACATGAACACATCACATGAACACATCACATGAACACACACGTGAACACATCACATGAACACATCACGTGAACACACACGTGAACACATCACATGAACACATCACGTGAACACATCGCATGAATACATCGCATGAATACATCGCATGAATACATCGCATGAATACATCACATGAACACATCACGTGAATACATCGCATGAATACATCGCATGAACACATCACATGAACACACACGTGAACACATCACATGAACACATCACGTGAACACATCGCATGAATACATCGCATGAATACATCGCATGAATACATCGCATGAATACATCGCATGAATACATCGCATGAATACATCGCATGAACACATCGCATGAACACATCACATGAACACATCACATGAACACATCGCATGAACACATCGCATGAACACATCCCATGAACACATCACATGAACACATCACATGAACACATCGCAGGAACACATCGCATGAACACATCCCATGAACACATCACATCAACACATCACATGAACACATCACATGAGCACATCACATGAACACATCACATGAACACATCACATGAACACATCACATGAACACATCGCATGAACACATCACATGAACACATCGCAGGAACACATCACATGAACACATCACATGAACACATCGCAGGAACACATCGCATGAACACACACGTGAACACATCACATGAACACATCACGTGAACACACACGTGAACACATCACATGAACACATCACGTGAACACATCGCATGAATACATCGCATGAATACATCGCATGAATACATCACATGAACACATCACGTGAATACATCGCATGAATACATCGCATGAACACATCACATGAACACACACGTGAACACATCACATGAACACATCACGTGAACACATCGCATGAATACATCGCATGAATACATCGCATGAATACATCGCATGAATACATCGCATGAATACATCGCATGAATACATCGCATGAATACATCGCATGAATACATCACATGAATACATCTCATCTATCACACACTTCCAGGCGCTGAATTCTGTGATGACCTGTCGCCCATTCGTACTTCCTTTTCCCCTTCCTCCTTCCTCCCTGTCTGCCTTCCCCCCGTTTCCGTTTTCGTAAAGCTTCTTCTGTGATTACGTGGATGGACGTTTTGCCACGTGGTTCAATCAGAGTGAGTCAAAGCATTCCTCATGTAACCCATGCCTCCCCGTATTCCATCCCCTATCCACCTGTCCCTCCAACAGCATTTCTCCCCCGCCTTGTGCCTGCTCTCGTCCTCGTGTATCCTGCTCTCCTTCACCAGTCCCTTCCTGCTCCCCTTCCGTTCGCAGTTTTTGTCACCTTGCATCACACCATCTTGCTATCACACTATCATGGTGTTAATTCATCATACTATCACACTTTTATACAATCACCCAAACTTGCCATCTTGCCACCCCGCCATCATCATGCCACCATACCTCCTTCCCAACGCCCCATTCACCCCAGAGTCCACATTTGGCGCGGTCCTGGATATGGTCACTGACAGGTGCGTGCCAGCTACCACACTCACAGATTTGAGACGTCCTGAAACCCGAGTAACATGCCTTGAATCCATCCTTCTTGCGCCATGCACTATCCTCCCTGTTCTTCGTCCTTCAAAGTGTTCTCTCCTTTTTTGTCTCACTCTGTGCCTCCCTCCTCTCCTTTCCCTCTCCCCCTCCTTCCCCTCCTTCCCCCTTCGCTGTGTGTCAGAATGAGCACCACCTGTTTGCTCCTCGTGCTCTCCCACCTCTACCCGTGAGTCGCCACAGGCACTGCTATACACCACTGGATCATGGGCATCACATGCATCACATGCATCACATGCATCATATCCATCACGTCAGCATGCATCGCATGCGTCACATGACAAAATATCCATCACGTCACATGGGTCACATGACATCACATCTTTGCTCGTCTTACCCTCCCACCTCTATCCCAGTCACCACAACCACGATTGTGTAACATGCATCCACACCCACCGCTCTTGTCACATCTTAAACCATTCCCGAGTGCACCTGCCATTTCATCTCACGTGCTGTTTGCATGGTCCTTGGCTCGAGCAATCTGTTTCCTCAAAAACAGACGCCTCGTGTGTTGTTTGCATGGTATCACTTGTCCTTGACTCGAGCACCTGCAGTCTGCTCTCTATCTCCTCTATCTCTCCTTTCTGCTTTGCTTTTGCCGTGTCTCCTCTTTCCCACCAACTCTTGCTCTTTCTCCCACCCCCTCTCTCTGGTACGGCTCTTAGTGATTCATCTCACCACCTGCTCTCTCACCTTCCGCTCTTTTCCCATTGCTGCTTCTCCCTTTAGTATTTGTTTTCCACCTTCGGCATTCTCTATTCTTCTCATTCGTTGGGACCCCATTTGTTCGTCTCCCCATTCGTCACCTGTCAACCCCTCGTCAACTCTTCAATCCCTCTTCAACCCCTCATCCCCTCGTCACCCCGTCCCAGGTCGCTCATGTGTGCATGCATGGCGCTGCTGGTGCTGGATTTGACAAGCCACTGGTACCAGATGTACAGGTGGGCACACACAGGGGGGTTATGAGGGACATGAGGCGCATGGGCCGGATGAGGGAGATGAGGAGGATGAGAGTGAGGTCGCTCACGGGTGCGTGCATGGCGCTGCTGGTGCTGGACTTGACAAGCCACTGGTACCAGATGTACAGGTGCGTGCATGCACACCATGAGGCTTACGAGGGGCGCATGAGGGGCATGAGGCAGACGTGAGGGTCATGAGGGACATGAGACGGACGTGAGGGACATGAGGGCCAGAGGCATGCGTATGGCATGGGGCATGAGTGCGTATGTGATAAGAAGCACACGAGCGCATAGCTGCAGACTGGGAGTCAATCTTTCGATTCACCTTTCCTGCCCTCCCTCCCTGCCCTTCCCCATCAGCTCCTTCCTGGTGCGCAAGGCCAGTCACGGGCACGTGGCATCAGGCCTCGGGACATGCAATGCTCTTCCCTCCTGATCGTCGGCGCCCCCCCTCCCCTTTACTTTTCCTCTTCCGCTGTCCGTCCTCCCCATCAGCTCATTCTTAGTGCGCAAGGCCAGCCACAAGGACGTGGCAGCAGACTATGAAGCATGTGAAAACCCCCATCTTTCTTTTTGTCGCCTCCCGCCTTCCCTCCCTGCCTACCCTTCTTCCCTGTGTTCTCCCCATCAGCTCATTCTTAGTGCGCAAGGCCAGCCACAAGGACGTGGCAGCAACGGACTTTTGGCTCATGCGCTGGTACTACGGCAGCCGCCCCTTCATGGCCTACTGCTGCATTGGCGCTGAGGTGAGAGGCAGTGTTGTGCCTTTTGAGTCGACTCAAGAGTCACCCAGCTGCATCGTAGTGGCAGTCGCGTGTGGCATCACAGTAGTGGCATGGCATGGCATGTGGTGCCTTGCCTGCCTCTCATTGCTGCCTCATGCGCTGTGTGGTACTATGGTAACCGCCCCTTCATAGGTCTACTGCTGCATCATAGTGGCAGTTGGTAGTGTCCGTGCATGTAGCTGCTGCAAACCATGCTTTGTTCGTAGAAGCCCCTCACTGTAGAATCCGATAGCATGCATTTCCATGCCTTCTCTCTATCCGGTGTCCTCTGTCTGTGTGTGCAGCTGCTGTACCTCGTGCTCTTTCTCGACTCAGACCCACTCAACCAACAAGTGCAGGTATGTGGTGTGGTGCCAATGCCTGATGTCAATTCCTCACTGCTCGCTCATGCCATTCCATCATGTATGTCAGATGCCAATGCCTGATGTCAGCTCGTCATTGCATTCCCTCATCGCATTTCCTCAGTACCACCTACCAGCAACCCTTTGGCCAGTCCTGTCCCCTCCTGTTGTCACCCCTTCCCTCCCCCCTCATACTCCACAGGTCCCCATGGTGCGCCTTGTTCCGACACGGTTCCTTAAAACCATCTCTCTGTACCACCTCCCAGCACCCCTTCGGCCTGAATTACCCCTCTTAATGTAACTCCTTCCCTCGCCCCTGCTACTCCACAGGTCTCCCTGCCTTACCTCGGTCCGACAGGGGTCATCCAAGCCCTTGGCCTGCTGTGTCTCCCCGGATGGGCGCTCAAGCAGGTCACCAACGTGGTGCAGGTGAGAGGTGGGAGGGTGAGCGGGTGAGATAGAGGGAGGTGGGGTGAGATGGGGTGGAAGGCTGTGTGCAGGGTGGACAGAGGTGTATGTGGATGATGGGAGAACGTCATCCAAGCCCTTGGCCTGCTGTGCCTCCCTGGATGGGCGCTCAAGCAGAGAACCAACGTGGTGCAGGTGAGGGACGGCTGGGCAAGGGGAGGGGGAGAGACTGGGGGGGAGCGTTGGTTGAGACTGGGAGGGAGGTAGTGTGCAGGGTGGTCTGGGCTGCATTGTGATTGGTGGTTGTCATCCCAACCCTTGGCCTGCTGTGTCTTCCTGGATGGGCGCTCGAGCAGATCACCAACGTGGTGCAGGTGGGACGGCAGGGACAGGGGTGGATGGGAGAGAGAGCAAAGGGGGAATGGTGGGGAGAGGTGATGCACGAAGGGCAGGTGGAAGGGCAGTGTGGAGATTGCGGTTCTAAAGTGCAGGTGTGTTGCACAAAGCGATTGCCTGCTATCTGTACGCCTTGTGTGTGATGTGGAACTGTTATATGCTCAGTACCGTAATTGCTTTTTCTAAAAAAAAATCCGTGCTTTCTTCTTGTTTCCCACCAGCTCAAAACAGCGGCAGATGCGTGTGTGGAGTACGACCTGGAGAAGACGCGGAAAACCTCGTAACAAACGATGAAAAAACTACTCCTGGTAGATGTTATACACAGTTGTATCGCCGTTCCCCTCGTTTGTTTGCATGTACCAGCTCGTGTGGAGCAATTGGTTGTCCTGTGGAGTTTTTAGCAGTTTTGAAGAAACGACATGAAGAGTAAAACTCACATGTTTCTCGTGGTGAAAGTTAGCGCTGCTGGTGAGTATGCATTCTGTGTTACCACAGCAGAAATGAGTGTTCACGGGACGGCAAGAATGACAGTAACGCTGGTGGCTGGGGCAGAGAGATCCCAAGTACTCATTGACAATCATCTCATTAGCTTCGATAACCATTATGAGTTCGTCCTTGACATGGAGAGCTCATTAGACTGCTCGGCAAACACTTCCCATAATCAACAATTCCCATAAAAGTGTTTAGAATAACATGGCAATACCCACGTACCATCGTGCACCACAATACCCGCTTGCACAACATAGCATGAAATTACAATAAATCATATGACTGGAAATCTTCTTACAATATAGACAGGCATACATGAAGAGAGGCCCAACACACCAGAGTATTAGTATTCATTGAAGCCCTAGCCTTCGTTATTGTGGTATGTCCTGATAATTGTAGCATCCAGACCATACGTAGCTTACCGCACAACGTGTATAGTGTATCCAATACTTCTGCTTGCGAGACAAGCATATTCCGTTCCCACGATCTCCAGTCGAAATAGCTGTCAGTCACATGCATTGTAGTCACAGGGTTTCGCCAATTAGCACACAGTGTTTTGACCCCCCATCGCTATTCGCACCGCGCCTCGCATACGCGGTTCGAAATCTCATTTCTCCTCGAATGTCGTCATTTGGCGGCGAACGAGATTCGACCCCTTTTGACGCACACATTCCGCCCCCTCCCCTTACATCGCATCCCATCCCATCCCTCCCATCTTTTCCTAGCTCGTCCCATGCCATCACAGTTCATCCTCCATCGCATATCAACGCATTTCATCCCATTCCATCCCATTCATGTTGGACTCGTCGTTCCCCGCTGCAAGTTATGCAAATGAAGGCATGCTACTTGGCCGAAAACATGATGATTGGGGTGACCTGACCACCGCCCATCCCACTGCTGCCCATCCAGCTGCCAGAATCAAATTACACTGCGTCATGCGGGAGGAACACTCGCAGCGCCCCTTAGCTGGTCATTACAGGACTTTGCTCCAGCAAACGCCCAGCCCTGGGTTTGACGTAGCGCCCCGACCCGACCCGACTCTTCATGGCCCTCCTTGCTTCCCTCTCCCAACAACCGCAACTGGCTCAACAAGACGAAGGCCAGCCCAGCCCTTGGCTTTTGTAGTTGGTGTGACTCTAGTGCGTCGTGTGTCGCGTCGCGGAAACCAGTTCCGTATGGCTGCACCCGTGTGCGCCCGCTAATCTGAATTGGCGCACCTGTGGTGGTGGTGGTTGGATCGCACAGAAAAAGCAGTTTCGTCTATGCAGCCGAGGTGTTCACAGGCCTTCCGTCCCACCGTCAGAATTTGGGAGCCTAATTCCTTAGAAATCACTTCCATCTCAGCCGGCCTTGGGCATTGATAAGTGCGTGAGCTGTTGTGATAAAAGCCCGTTCGCATACTCTTCTCCTTCCCGTTCGATAACCCGATAATCTGTCCCCGCGGTCTTACCACCTTACCCATCGTTCCCTCGCATGTGTCGAGACGCGCATTTAGACCCGGCCCATTCGCCGTCCAATTCTTCCCGAATTTCCTCAGGGAGATACCACCGATCGTTGCTGCCTCCCTACACTCGACTTTGACTAAGAGAGACTCTAACGGAGTGGATTTATCGACCGTTAACGCAGCCTGCTCACTCCAACGAGCACCAACTTTCTCCCTCAAACCCCTCGCGCTCGATTCGTTACAACCGGCGAGGCTACTCACAAGTCTCTTCCGTGAGGGCGACTTGTCGCAGCTTACCGGAAAACTGATACTGAGGCGTTGAACCCAATTGGTTTTGGAGCATTCCACTCTAAAAAACCAGGTTGTCTCAGATGGGGAGGCATGGTGGCAGTAGACGACATGGCGGGCGTGAGCTGCAAATCGCTTGTGGTTTCGTCTTCACGGCTGTATTCTTCTTATTAGGTGCGTTTTTTGGTCTACTCGGCGGGTTTCCCGTTGTAATTTTTTCATCTGGTGCGCAAACTAATGCGCTTTTGAAATACTGTATCGTTCCCATCGTTCGCGCGAGTCTGCCTTCGCGAAGTGCCACATGCGAATTGCAAAGAAAGGTCGAATCCACGGTATGAAACGCACAAGACGGGTTGCGATGTCTGTGCTTCACGGTGTCACTGCTGTTGCATGCTATGCGGTGTCTGGACGACAGCATACACGACAAGTGCGGCACGCAGGTCAAGCACGGCACGCACGGCGCGAGAAAGAATGCATTGCATGCACGGAGGGTGCTGCATGTACAGCTAACCTAGTTATCATTAACCTCGTTTTCGTTTATTATTCTTCGTCCTCCAACCATCACAGGCATCGCAGCAGCAGCGCCAGGTGCGGGCAAGGGGCTGTATCTAGTGCACATGACGTCCGCGCCGCCAGTCGTCGCGTACAAGGGAGGGATCGCGGGGCTCACGGCGACGGCGGTGGCGGAGGAAGACGAGCCTTCCCCCGGCCGGACGTACCGGGGGAGCGCGGGGGTCATGGAGGGGGATGCGCGGAAGGGCAGGGGTCCGCGGCAGTTGCGCCCGCGCGCGGACGACCCGCATGTGCGCGCGTACGCGCAGCACCTGACGTCGCTGCACGAGCGGACTCTCACCTCCGTCGGTGTCGCGTCGAGCAGTATGGTGTACAGGTATGACGTGGCACATGCGTACGTTATGACGTGACATATGCTCATGTGTACGTCTTACCTTCCGTACTCCCTCTTTCCGCGCTTCGTTGCCTAAGTTCTCTCGTTCCCCCCGTCTTTTTTCTCCCCCATTACTCCCCCCTCAGCTACAATTTCGCCGCGAACTCATTCTGCGCGGAACTCACCCCCACGGAGGCGCAGCAGCTGCGCGCGCGCCCGGACGTGGGGCGCGTGGCGCGCGGGCGCAAGGTGCGCGCGCTCACGACGTACTCCCCGCGCTTCCTCAAGCTCGGCGCGCCGAAGGGCGCGTGGGAGGCGAACGGGGGGAAGATGAGCGCTGGAGAGGGCGTGGTGGTGGGGATTCTCGACACGGGCATTTGGCCCGAACACCCATCGTTTGCGAATCAGGTATGGGGACCAATTTTCGAGAGGACAAATTAGACAGCCGTTGGGAGGCGAACGGGCGGAGATAATGTGGATCAGTTTTCCAGGTGACCACTAAACAGGCTGTCCCTTCCCTGACCCCCTCCTCCACTTCAGGGTTACGACCCGCCGCCCAAGCACTGGAAGGGGGCGTGCACGGGGCTGAAGCGGTGCGACGGAAAGGTGGTGGGCACACCTCATAAACAGAACTCCCTTTCCTGACACCCTCCCTCCTCCCGTTTCGCAGGGCTATGGTCCCCCACCCAAGCAGTGGAAGGGCGCATGCACGGGGCTGAAGAAGTGCAACGGCAAGGTGGTGGGCGCGCGCTACTTCCTCTCCGCGTACGAGCGCGAGTACGGCAAGATCGCTCCGGGGGAGTACCGCTCTGCGCGCGATGCTGGCGGCCACGGCACGTGGTGTGCGGGGTGAGTCATGGTGGATTTGGGGGATGGGGGGGATTGTGGGCGGGGGGGTGTGTGGTGGTTGGTCAGAACGTAGGATCGAAAGTGAATGTGATAATATTGACATGCGCCCCCATTTTCGCCTCCGCCCTCCCTTGGCATGACACTCACACATCAACGGGAAGCCAGTAGGCAGCAAGGGAGGGGTGCACACTGAGTGCTTGCCGCCGTTCTTCCCTCCTCCCGCCTCCCCTTTCTCCTCTTTCCACTCAACCCCCTCTTCTCCCCCCCTCCCCTGCCCCCGCTCCCCCTCCCCCTCCCACACCTTCCGTCTTCCCCTTTCCCCACTGCACAGGGCGGCGGTGGGCAACAGCGGCGTGGTGCTGACGGAGCGCGACGGCACGCCCATTGGGACGGCCAGTGGAATGGCGCCACGTGGCAGGCTGGCGGTGTACAAGGCGCTCTGGTACAACGCGTCAGATGGGTACGGCCACGACTGCGACATCTTTGCAGCCGTTGATCAGGCCGTCGCGGACGGTGTGGATGTGCTCTCCATGAGCATCGGATCGGGCGAAGATACCTACTTTGGCGACCTGCCCCTCCTGCGCGCAGCAGAGGTAAGGCCTGAGAGACCTGGCAAACTTGACCTACTTTGGAAACCTGACAAACCGGACCTACTGAGGAAACCTGACAGACCTGAGGCTCCCCCAACGGGACACCGAGAGCATAGCAGAGGGAATGGAAATAGCTGGTAGTAACTCTTCTGTGCCCTTTCGTTATGCTCTTTCCTATCCCTCCGTTTTTCTCTCCGCAGGCTGGCGTGTTCGTGACCCTAGCGGCGGGTAACGCGGGGCCGCCAGGTCAGGGAGGCACGTATCGCACCATCAGCAACACGTCGCCCTTCTATCTCACCGTCGCCGCCAGCACCACCGACCACGATGCCGCCATGCTCTTCCGCGCGCGCGCCGCCGGCGCTTCTGATACTGCCGGCGCCGCTACAGCCGCCGCTACAGCCACTGCTTACGGAGATAATTCGTCCTATGTACCACAGGGTGCATCAGCAGCTTCTAAACGCGGATTCGTCTGCCATGCCTCGCGGCCCCGGACCCTTCAAGCCGTTTACGAGGCGCCGGTGATCGCGCCGTTCTCGTCGGCGGGACCGCCGCTAAACCCCGCTCGGCCGCCCCCCGCCACGTTGCAAGTAACTAACGACATCCTAAAACCAGATGTTACTGGGCCGGGAATGGATCTTGTAGCTGCTGCTCCTGGCGGGACAACTAAAGACGCGTGGTACAACATGAAAAGCGGCACGTCGATGTCTACTCCCCAATTGGCGGGAATCGCGGCGCTGATAATTCAAAAATACCCCAACTGGCGACCCGCGGCGATTAAATCGGCGATAATGACGACGGCGTATAAATTGAACAATCGCGGAGGAGCCATGCGAACTTTTGAGGGAACTCCTGCGACGCCATGGAATTACGGATCTGGGCACATAAATACTACGGCGATGCTGGATCCCGGATTGGTTTACGACGTTGGGCGAAAGGGTTACTTCAACTTCCTCGCCGGTGTGAACATGGCCGCTGCGACAAAGGCTTTTCCGGCGAAGAAGCTGTCGCCGATAAAGCCGTGGAGTCTGAACCAGCCGAACATATGCGTTTCGCGACTTACAAACGTGGTTACCGTCTCGCGCACTGTCACGAGTGTCACGGCGAATGCACAAACCTACCAGGTGCAGGTTCGCATGCCTGCGAACGTGGACGTCCAGGTTACACCGTCGCAGTTCACGATATTGCCGAAGCAAACGGTTACATTCAGGGTGAAGCTGACTCCAAAGAAAAACACTAACCAGTTTTCATTTGGAGAACTGGTGTGGTCAGATGGTAGGCATAGAGTTAAATCCGTCTTAGCAGTACAGCCCATGGCTGCATAGTAAGAGTAGCAGCGCATAGCTTTCTTGCAACACCTCGTTGCAAGCCTCTGTTGCGAATAAAGGTAAAGGGTGCATACCAATAAATACTTGAATTGTACATCCAAGCATCACTTCTAGTGGTTGTAAGAGCCTACAACAGGAAGCGAGAACATCTCCCTGCTGTACAATCTTGCAGCCACTCACAGCATCCATACACATCCCCACACCACACCCTCCTGGGCATTCCACCATATGCTCCCAAAGTACCGAGTAAGTAACCCCACATAACCACACATGCACACCACCAAACAAACCCTACTCCACAATACTGCACCACCAAACCACCACCCGTCCCATCACCTTCAACGCAGCTGCCAGGGGCATCTCCTGCCCTCTGCTCTACAGCAAGACAGGGAGCTCCTGACCGTTGAAGGCGGAGTAGAGGCAGTCAGTGGCGGTGACGGCGCTGGTCTCATAATCCCTTCCCGACCACAGCCCACTCCCCCCAACCCCCCTTAATTCACCTGACAGAAGCATATAGCCCCTACAACATTCTAAGCAGAAACGGGCAGCCTCTGGCCGTTGAAGGCGGAGAAGCGGCAGTCAGTGGCGGTGACGGCGCTGGTCTCATAGTCCTTGACCTGCCCGTCCAGGAAGCCCTTGCCCTCCGCGCCATCGGCGGACACGGGGTGGTGCAGCATGGCAGCGAGCCGAGAGAACTCCACCGTGCGCGCATCCCTGCCGCTGCGGTACGTCTGCCCCATCACGCCGTGCACGCTGCTGCTAGGACTCGCCTCCTGAAACATCACGTTGATGTGCACCTGGGCGTCGTCAGGTGTCTGCAGCAGAGGGTGCGCAGGGCGCAGCTTGAGGTCCAACTCCAGGAGCCCCTTGATGCTCAGGTAGTAGTGGTCCACGTCGTATGGCCCGGTCTTCTCCTCTCCCACAAACTCCACAAGCACCTTGCCGCCGGCCAGGCTGCGCATCTCACCGGGAGCAAGGCGGGGGAGAGGCGTGCCGTCGAGCTCCGCCGAAGCGAGGAACCCAGACTCGCCGCGGAGCTGCTCCTTGCCGTCGCGCGCCGTGAGCAGCAGCGAGTGGGAGGCGGGCTTGGCTGACACGGTGTTGTCGTTGTTGGCGCGGTCGTCGGTCCACATGACTGCGAGCTGGCGGATCCAGGTGCGCACGGCGGAGCCGTTGACAACGAGGGCGTGAGAGTTAAGCGTGGAGCGCGAGTCGAGGTACCCGCGCATGCCCATGTTCACGTGCACCGCGCGGTCCGTGTACAGGCAGAAGTTCTTCTCGGGCAGCCCGTTGAAGTCGAACCGCGTGCCGTGCGCGCCCAGAAAGTGCGGGTCATTCTGCGCGGCGGGGCATCGCTTGCCAATGCGAACCTTGAGCCCACTGGTTGCGCTGGTTTGGTTGACTTTGATGGGGTGGAGACGGTCGATTGCTGGGATCAGAACACAGGAGCCGTTGGATCTGAAGAGCAAAACAATGGTGCAGTTTGAGGGGAAGGGAGTGGTGAGGGAGGATGGAGGGGAGAGGGAAGCTGCAAACGTAGGAAAATAGAGTTGATGGACGGCGGAAATAAAAAAAGGATGTCATAGAAACGAAAGGAAAAAGAGATGTGTTCAAGTAGATACACCTGATCCCAGAAAAAAACAAGAAGGCAGCGCAGAAAGTGAAGGTAAAGGACCTTGCGCGGGTGTACTAATGGGATGTTCTACTAATGGATTTTTATGTGGTACTAACGGAATGTGCTACTCACGGGACGTGCACCCAGAAGCGGCAGTTGAAGGGATCGCCAGAGGTAGTGGCATTGGTGCTCTTGCACAGATCGCAGCAGTCCCTCGCGTATAAGATCTCCGTGTCGCTACCCCCCACGCACCACGCCTTATCCGCCTCCACAGGCACTGTCACGCCTCCCGTCGCTGCTGCTATGCTCGCGCACTCGCTGTGCTCTGGGATTCGCCAGTAGTCCAGCGACCCCGCGTTATCGTCACACTTGCCACGGTCACATGCTGGTGAACCACCTGAAGAACCACCTGAGGAGCCGCCTGAGGAGCCACCGCCGCTACTGCCGCCCCGATTGTCGTTGCAAGGCCGTCCGTTGCTGCCGCCGCGACCGCCGCCGATGCCGATTCCGACCGAGATGCATCCGCTGACGCCCAGACCTAATCCGAACCCGCGCCCTGCGCGCCTGCTGGCAGCGGCGCCGGTGCGAACCGCAGCGCTTGCCGCGGCGCTGGCGCTTCCCCTGATGCTCACTGCTACTGCTGCTTCAGCTGCTGACGATGCTGCTATAGCGACGAGGAGAGTGGCGAGGAGGAGGAGGGGGAGGTACGAACGAGCCATGACCTGCGTTGGAGTTGGGAGGCTAAGGGGGAGGTCTGTAGAGCCGTTTGCCTACTTTGGTGTGATGTGAGAGAGGTGGAAAGGAAGAATCCAAGTGGTTTGAATCGGGAAGAGTATCGAGCGAGGAAGCAGATACGTCGACGTGAATCTCGATGCAGGCTTGATCGATGATGAGTCTGGCGGGTCGAACGGTATTTATACCGCGCGAACGATTCGACGCGGTTGACGCGATTTGGAGCGGCTGGAGCCACTTTGTTCTTAGTAGGCGCCGGCCCTGGCACCTCATGGCGGCTGCAAAAGACTCTGTAGGATCAGCCATCCCCGACTGTCAACGCCGTTCTCCGCGGTGGTCAAGAAATATAGATGAAGGGGTGACGAGTGAAGTTCTAGGGGAGGCTCAGGTCGAAATTTGTCCAAGGGACGGCGGAGAAATCTGGGGAAGCTAGCCTCAAGGGCTGTCCACAGTGCTGGTTGCAAATTCAGGCGACATTTGCGAAATACTGAGCTTTGTTCGCACACGCAAGCTGCCATTTGTGCGAGACATGGAGCCTATAACTCTTTATTAGATGTCTCAGGTACTTTACCTGGTCATCATATTCTTTGCCAGGAGCAGGATGAGCTGGAAAAAATATTGGTCCTGTATATAGAACTTGGTCTTCACATGATACTCTATGACCATACGTTGAGGCAATGGTTTACACCTTATTTTTTTCTAAATAGCAATGTGTCCAGTATATAGAGAATTATGCTGAAATGCAAGTAAGTATTCGAAAAAACCAGACATTTTCCTGGCATTATAAGTCATTCGTATATAATTTAAATTATATTGTTTTACACGTATCTATCAGTGGATCAACCTGTTACGAATAGTGGTTAGTGAAAACACTATTGATCACTCCTCACCATAGCGAAGCCGAAGCACGCAGCATCGAGAGTGAAGACAAAAGGGCAGAAGTAATGCGAAGGGACAGACGGTTACGAGGAGCATCTGGACCGTCGGGCAGACAGCATCAGGCAGCAGCAGTGGCGAGGATTCCTCCCGAACAGTTCCGTAACCACCCGGAGTCGCACGGTTGGATTTCGCTGTAATAAGGGAATGTACCCCTTAGAGTACATGGCTAGCTAGGTCGTTTCGCATTCCCCTGTACTCTTATTTATATTCCTTGTACTGCATGTTTTTATTATCTCAAGCATTTACATTCACTCTGCTATTGAGGTCAAGGGCCCACCACCACTAGATTAGAAGTGTGCGAACCTTCCTGAGGTGATCCTGGATACGATCAACTTCTGATCGCAGCATGGTATGAGAGCGACTCAGGAATCCTTCGCACAACCTGCGACATTCGGAAAGTGGCGTCCGGCACACGATCACGTGTAAGAATGGCCGGAGGATCTGGAGGTCAGACGAATCTGACGGCTGAAGCGCAGCCCAACCTGGCTGCGACAAGCGAGGAAACGACGACGATCCCTTCCGTCGTCCTCGCACAACTGCTTCAGCGACTCACGAGCCTGGAGCAAGGACTCCAGACATTGCGGAACGGCGACGCGGGAACTTCCTCCCAACCCACTCAACCGGCGTCAAACGGCCAGAACTCCGCCCCGCAAGGCTTCTCGCTTGACACAAACGGCTCAACACCCAAGACTCCCTGTCCCAGCGATGAAGCAGTTCTCTCTGCGCAATCAAGGTTTTTGAGCATATCAAAAATAAAGACAAGTGTGTGCTTTGATGGCAGAGACTTCTATACTTGGAGCTTCGAGCTGGAGCTGCTGCTGCAAAACGCGCAGATTTATCATTACT